GTGGTGTCCCGACCCGTGCGGCCTGACTCGTTGGAACCCGCAGCTCCCTCTTCCTACGTGGCTTTCAGACTCCGGTGCCTGTGCCACAGCATCCACTGCGTGGAACACTTGGTACAGAAAGGTGACCGCAAGGAGGCTTGGTTCGCATTTGTCAAAAACAACACTGGGGCCCCAGCACTGGGACCGCTGCAGCTGCTGCCCCTCTGAATCCATGATATGGGTTTTCCCTGAAGCAGACAACACTCAAACTTGGCTCCTCACACGCTTGGCCTCGGCTGAGACTTTGCACGCACCTGTGCATTTGTCAGTTTGTATTCATTTTCTCCATAACCTGGCTTCACCTGGACCTGCCCTGCTGTATGCATCTGAGGCCCAGCACCTAGAGAGGGAGAAGGTGATGAGCAGCAGACACAGCTGGGAGCCAGGCAGCCACAGACCTGATCCTCCCGATCTGGGCCCGTGTAGACAGGAAGGAGGGGTTGCATGCACTGACTTCGCGCTGTGACCAGTGATCCTCGAAGCACTGGCAGCATGGGCAAGAAAGTGACAAGTATGAGAAGGGGCGGCCCAGAACAGCTCAGTGTCAGAAACCAGACCCAAAGCCCCTGCAGAGGAAGTTCCTCCCCTGGGCTCCCTCTCCTCTGCAGAGGTGAAGAACAGGATCAGAAGAAGGCCAAGGCTCAGGGACCAAGGCCCACACCATGCTGCAGCCTCAGATGCGGTGGCTGGGCAGAGCCGGGTCAGTTCCCCGCACTCCACCACAGGCTCCCGGCTGCACTCCTAGGAAGACATGGTTCTGAGCACCATCTTCCCACCCACTGACTCTCTCACGGGCCAACACTAGTTCTGAGTGCCCTTGGGTCCCTGGCTGGGCCAAAGACACCCGGAGCTGATAGCACAGGGAACTGCATGCTGCCCAGGAGCTCTGGTTGGCAGAACAGCAAACAGGCAAGTGAGGAAACGGGAGTGGATGTGAAAATGACTCTTGAGACACTGTGGAGCCAGAGGGACACACACAGCAGGGCTTTGGTGGGAGGGGACCCCACCCAGGGGTGCAGGGCAGAGTTCTGTCCCCACAATCCTTTGTTGAAGCGCCACGCCCCAGTATGGCTGCATTCGGAAATAAGGCTATGGAAGTCGTGATCAGGTTAAGGTGAGGTCTGCTGTCCCTACAAGAAGAGAGATTAGGGCACAGACACACGTCGAGGAAGAGCATGTGAGGACAGAGAGAAGGCAGCCATTGGGACACCGAGGAGTGAGGCCTCAGGAGAAACCGACCCGGTGGCACCATGATCTGGGAATCCCATCCTCTAGACCTACAGCAAGTTCTGTTGTTCAGCCACACGCTCTGTGGTGCCGGGCACAGCACCCCAAGTTGACTAATGTCAGGGGTGACCCTGGAAGGCTGCCCTGTGGTTCCAGGGGACCCCATGTCTATGTGGATGGACATGGATGCCTCTTGATGGCAAATGTATGCATGGTCCCCTCGCCCTAAGTACTGACTGTCTTCCTTCTCTCCTTGGATGCGGTTGCCACGCTTCTGAACACCTAGGAGCCAGTGACACAACCCAAAGCCTCCATCATCACTCTGCGCACTGCTCCCTGGAAAGTTCCTGAAGGTCTCCAGGAGAAGACTTTAAATATTTGCAGATGTGTATTTATAGTTCTAGCACAGGGTTACAACTGCCAAACTACCAGTTACAACTACCAGATGGGGACAGGCATTGGTCAGTTTTCCATCTCTCTGATAAATATCTGAAATAAATCAACCTACTAAGGGAAAAGGTTTATTCTGGCTCACAGTTTCGGAGGTCTCTGTCTGTGCTGGCTTGGCCCTGTTGTCTTTGGGCCCATGGCAGCACAGTCCACTGCACCAGGAGCACATGGCACAGGAGACTGCTGACCTCATGGTGGCTGGGAACTTGGGGGGTCCAAGGGTCTCACAGTCCCCTTCCAATCCGCTTTTGGAGCACACCCCAGTGCCCTAGCTTCCTCCCACTAAGCTCCACCTCTTTAACCTTCCAGCACCTCCTGACGGCACCACAGGCTGGGGGCTGAGCCTCTAATGCTCGGACTTTTTCATTCCAGATCAAAACTGTAGCAAGATGCCTCCATGTACATGTGACTCCCCAGCTGAAGTCTCAGACAGAGCCTGGCTACGCCCCACCTTGGCAGGGGAGACACTCCCCCTGGAGTAGTCATGCTGCACACTCTTGGGAAGGGGTCCTGACAGCTTACGGTGTACTGGGGGATGCGGGAAGAGTTTGCTCATCCTCAGACAGCCCCCTGGGAAAAGTGTGGGAGGGAGGCCTCCCATATGCACCCCCTTGGGGCTGGGGCACAGTGGCTGGGCCACAGACACATCCCACAGAAGTGAAACGACATGCACATGACACAGTGCCCACTGGGGGGTGACAGGAGGGTCCTCAGTCACTGGGCCATTCCTTGACCTGGGAGTAGGGAGGGTAAGCAGCAGTGACCTAGTGCAGGCAACCCAAGATGTGACATGGTACACCCAGGGCCTGGAGGCAGCCAGAGGGTGGAGGGAAGGAACATCTGTGAGCTACTGCAGGAGGACTGGGCCCTGGCCGGCCCTGGCCGGCCCAGCTCTTCCCTTGTTCCTTGCAGTCCTTGGGATAACTGTACTCAGGATGCAACCTCCCAAGGTCAGGGCAACTGGCAAGAACAGCCTGGGCAATGTCTGCTCCCACCTAGCGCGGGACATCCTGCAGTGCTCGAGCTCAGCAGTGCCAGTGACCCCCCGGTAAAAAACCCAAGCAGATTACTTCGGGGCTCTTGGTTACAGTGCGATACGGGGCACACAGATGAGACTCCATCTCCTCTGTGCAGCTCTCTTCAGCTTTAGAGACCAGCATACCATGAATCCTAGCAACAGACTCCACCCTTGGCAAACCAAATGTAGAAAATATCAGAAGGAAAACAAAGAGCTACACCCAAATTTGTCACAGTGAAAGCAGCTAGTCTGCTAGCCTCAAATCTTGGTCATAGCAACCATAGTTAAGGCCTTAAATTGTGGAGAATTCTGTAATTTACAAGGGACTTCTACACACTTAGCCGAACAGAAGGCTACGTGGGGCTTTTATAGCTACGAGGAAGGAAATCCACCAGAGCCCCACAGCTTCCACGTGACAGGCCTGTGCTAAGCCCAAGTCCCCTCCTACCACAAGCTTTCAGAGCAGGGCCACCTGTCTCTGGTCCTGTGACACAGGGGCAGGTGGGCAGCCAGCCAGGCCCCGTGGCATGGCAGGATAACCTTGGCTGCTCTCTCCACACAGGTGCTCCCAGCTTCTGTTTAAGAGCTCAGCTCTGGCCTGGCCCCACAGGCTTGCCTGTAATCCTGATTTGGGTTGCTCTGGAGTACAGGAAGCTTAAGCCTGGGGGAATGGAACAAGAGTAATAACATTTGGGCTTAGTGTGAAGTTAATTCTTCCCCCTGTTTGGGACCTGGAGATTTCTAATGGCACATTTGACATGAGCTCATGGGATCTCTGTTTGCAAGAGGCTTCAGACTGCCCACTTTTAGAAGCAGCCTGTTCTCACTCACGAGAGAATCCTCCTGCCAAACTCTCTCAGCTCTGGCTTTTCTTTGGGTCCTGCCACTGTGAGACTTTGCTCTTCACTGGTCCCAAATTAGCAAGGCTTTGTATGTCCTGACAAACCCCATACATTCATCCCTCTGAACTCGTATCCATGGGGACTGGTCCAGGACTCCTGTCAGATACCAGAGCCAACGATGCTCAAGTGCCTTATGTAGAATTACCTAGTACCTGCATAAAATCTACATACCCACTCTTATATACTTTAAATCATCTCTAGATGATTCACAAAGCCTCAGACAATGTAAATGCTATGTAAATAGGTGTTATACCAAACCACTTAGGGAATGAAGGCAAGAAAAATACCTCTGTACATGTTCCACACAGATGCAATGTTTATGAGTATTTTCAGTCTGTTAGTGATTGGATCTGCAGATATGGAACCTGAGAACAGAGTGTTGGCTGAACACACTTTCAGGGACAGTCTACAGGTCACCATGAAGCAGGAGAAGGATGGAGAGAGATAGACACAGAGAAACAGTAAGAAAGTGATAGATCGAAAGGTAGAGAAGAGATTTGGGCACAGATATCAGTTGACAAAGATGATGTCTTTAGTGGAATTAGTGGCTCCTGCCATACATGGCTGTGATGAGCACCCAGCCTGGGCCACTGTATCTGACCACAGCAAACAGAGCTGACCCATCACAGAGTCTTCTGCCTGCTGTCCCGGCTGCTTACGCTGTCTTTCCAGCCACAGCACCAGTCAGCCACGGCTCTGTATCCAGCCCTCTTTATCCACATCTGTGGAATCAACCAACAGCAGATCAGAAACACTGAAAAAGGAAGTTCCTGCACTGAATATGTACAGACTTTTTCTTTATCATCATTCCCTGAACAATGGTGTAACTATTCACACATCACTTACATTGTATTAGGTATCGTAAGTTATCTAAGGATGATTTAAAGTACAGAGGAGGATTGTGTAGGTTCTATGCAAACACTGCACTATTTTATATAAGGGCCTTAGGCATCTGTAGATTTTAAGAATCCACAGATTAGTTCTGAAACTAATTCCCCTTGAATGTCAAACAACAACTGTGTCTGGCAGGTAACACTATCACAGTAGAGTAGTGAGTTTATTCTGCCTGTAAATTTTATATGTAGTTGCCCTTTGCAGAAATGAGGCTCCATGGTGGCAGAGATAATGTTTTTAGAATGATACAGAACCTGCAGTTTCTAAAACAAACAGCAGCATCATTAAAGCCCCTTCTTTCTGAATTAACCCCACCCCTACCCAATCTCTAGCAGCTTGGGCCACAGGTTCCTGGAGCTGAAAAGTGAAAAGTTCCCCCAGGAGATCCTGATTTCCTTTGTCAGTGATTCTGGGAAGCAGAGCCAGGGAGAAATATTCCTAGCAAGTTGGCAGGGGAGATGGCAGTGACTCCAGGGAGACTGGAATGGGGTTGAGGGAAGTCAGTCAAGGGAAAGGAGAGAACACTTCCAGCTCCATCTGAAGCTAAAGGACACGGACAGCGTGTACATCAAATAACTCAATTCGTGTGCCAGCGGAGAGCAGCAGTGATGCTGTCTTAGTTACTTTTCTCATTGCTGAGACAAAATACTTGACACCCAAAATTAAAGGAGGCAAGGTTTATTGTGGCTTATAGTTTGCAGAGGTTTAAGTCTGTCATTGTCTACCTCTGAGGCAGGGTGGCAGGGCAGAGGGCCTTTGAAGAGGAGAAACAGCTCATGGCAGGCAGAAGGCAGCAAAGCAGTGAAGTGAAGCAGCTCCCTTCTGTCCCTTTGTATTCCATGCGGGCCATCCACACCTAGGACAGGGCACCCTTAATCCCAGCATCACGCACCCTACTCCACCCACCTTCAAAACTTCCCAACTATGACCACATGAGGCTTTGCGGGGACATCTAGACACAAGGAGTAACAGGTGCCTCAAGAAACAACAAGATGGGGCCTGGGATTTAGCTCAGTGGTTCCAGAGCCTGCCTTGAAAGTGCAAGGTTCTGAGTTCAATCCCTGGTACCAAAAAAAAAAAGAGGGAGGAAGAGAGAGAGAGAGACAGAAAGAAAGAAAGAGAGAGAAAGAAAGAAAGAAAGAAAGAAAGAAAGAAAGAAAGAAAGAAAGAGAGGTTTGGTTCTTTTCAGTGTTAGTGTAGTCCACAACTTTTGAGGGTTTGATGTAGAACTTTTAAACCATATGTTGAAAACAATATGCAGTAAGTAGAGACTATACTTCCACACAGCCACACAATCAAGAGAGGAGACAACTGGTATTCTACAGTATGGTGCAGCTGTGAGGTCAAAGTAAATTTTCTTCTAATGATATTTTTAATTTATGATGGGTAATCCCATTATATCTTGAGGAGCACCTGTACTCCAATGGATGTATGCTCAGTCAAAGCTGTAGAGCTGGGTGAGGTAGTGCATATCTACAATCCCAGCACTCTGAGAGGCTGAGGCAGGAGGATCACAAGTTCTAGCCTAGCCCAGGCAATTTAGCAACTTAGTGAGATCCCATCTCACAAACAATCAATAAATAAGGGGTAGGGATGTAGCTGAGTATGAGGGTCCTGGGTTTGATCACCAGTACTACAAAAAAAGAGTAAGTAAAGTCGCAGTGCATTAAATCTTTTTTTTTTTTTTTGGTACCAGGGATCAAACTCAGGACCTTGAGCTTGTGAGGCAGGTGCCAGAACCACTGAGCTAAATTCCCGGCCCCGTAGTGCATTACATCTTTAATGATCCGAATTTGGATGAATCCGAACATCACAAATGGGATGGACACTGAGGAGCATCCATACACTCATCTGTTCATCTTGCTTGACTCATCTGAACACCACGTTCCAGGAAAACACCTGAGTGGTCTTGGCCCATCCCTACTTTCCCCTGCTTTCCCCCTCCAGTATTACTTTGATGCAAATTCCACACATCCCATTATCTTACCCATAGACACGTCAGTAAAATCACAAGTATAAATGATAATATTTCCTTTTATTCTAGAGCTCCCAGTAGGGAAATGTATTTTGGGCACCAGAGAACTCAGACACGCCTGAGCCAGGTGTCCTCAATGCTGCCCTTGTGGATACCTACTCTGGTCTGAGCATGGCCCTGGGTCCTCAGTAGCCCCATGCACTGGAACGTGCCTGTGGTCTTGCCCTGTCTGTCTGTCCCAGTTCAGCTCTCAGAGGGTCCAGACTGCCAGATCTTCATAGAGACCCAGCTGAGACTCCTGTTGGGGCATTTAGGTTTCCTCTTATTGTTAAAATGTGAAGTGTCCCTCAAAGGCCCGTGTATTAGCCCATGTAGCAATGTTCAGAGGCAGGGACTAGAGGTGACTAGATCATGAGGGCACTGGCTTTGCCGATGGATGAATCTATTGATGAGTTCATAGCTGAATGGGCTCATTAGGAAGTGGGGCCCAGTTAAAGGAAGCAGGTCACTCAGGGCAGCCTTGAAGGTGTGAAAGCCCCTTCCCTTCCTGCTGGCTTTCCCTCTGCTCTTTGCTTCTCAGATACCATGAGTTGAGCAGCTTTCCTCCACCACACCCTTCCACCTTGATGTTTCTGCCTCAGAGCCAGCTGACCACGGACTGAAACCTCTGAAACCGTGAACCAAGATAACCTTTCCGCCTTTAACCTCTGCGTGTCAGGTATTTTGTTCCAGCAACAGACAGCTGACTAAAACACTTCCCACGCTGACTGGATCCTTGTCCTCCCCGTTCTCCCAGCCTCCCCCACACCTGTGGTTTCAAAAGGCACTGGGACAAACTTCTCTGGTTGTAAGCTGTGAGACTCTGACTCTCTCACCATGGTCCTCAGCCTGGTGTGACCTGTGCAGCCAGTCCATGAGAAGCTTCTCCAGGGAAGGGGAAGGGACATAACTTTTGAAGTTGACAGATTTTAACATTAAGAAATACTCAAAATGTATAAATGAAGGCCAAGATGCAGACAAAAGCAAAGTATGTGTCACATGACTGACAGACTGTGCTGGAACATTCCCTACCACGCAGCCCTTGTGGTACCTACCATGGGGATGGGGGTAAGGTGGCTACCTAAGGCAGGCAGACAGACCCTCACCTGAGCAGTGTCCTCTTCGTCTCCTCAGGCTCAGAGGCCGCAGCTTGGGCCTGTGCACCAAAGATGAGGCGTGGAGGAGAAATGATGGTGAGGTCAGCATCCAGGCGAGGGCTGGGTCTCTCTGTCATCTTCTTGCCTGGTTCCTTCAAGGTGAGTATGGCTTCAACCAGAAAGAAAGCATCAAGTACATGGGACTCTGCTTAGCAACCATCCTGGACAGAAGCCAAAGCAAGGCTGTGCCTGCCAGAGGTGACTCAATGTGCAGAGCTCAAGGGTATCCGGAATTAAGGGTGTGCAGGCAGACTGGGTGGGGACTGGGAAGGACACTGGAAAAATGAAATTGCAATCTTAATCCCTTCTCTTCAAGAGAAAAGAAAATGAAAGAAGAATGTATAATATATGATTAACCTATGTAAATAATTAGGTCCATAAGTAAATTTTTTCTGTTGTGTACATATTACCCTAATACATTTGTAAAAAATCAAGTAACACACAAAGAGCAAAAGGCTACCTTACCTTCGCCAGCTCTAAGCTCCAATCCCAGTTTCTTCTCCCCTGTCTCACCCCTGTCAAACGCTGTATCCCAGTTGTGGCAAACCTATGTCATGAATGCTGCAGCAGGCTGTTTCAATCACGCAAGCTCTAAAAGTTTGCCATCACTGCTATATCCTCTTTTTTTTTTTGGTAATGGGGATCGAACTCGGGACCTTGCGCTTTCGAGGTAGGCGCTGGAGCCTCTGAGCTAAATCCCTGGCCCTGCTATATCCTTTTTTGACTCTTTGCCATGTATATCTATATCATAATTTGCCAGATAGATGGATAGATAGGTAGATGAAAGGGCCCATAGATGACTGTGTAAAGCCATGGGAAGATGTGGCTAGTTAGGGGAAGATTCCTGGTCATTTCCTTTTGTCTGTTTTTATAAATAGTATCACAACATATGCACTATATCTAAACAGAGTTCACTTAATATGGAGGTCTTCCATGCCAGGGACCTACATCATTTTCTGCAATAGCTACCTAGTATTTCAGAATATGAATGTAACATTGTTTTCATATCCTTTCCCTACTAATAGCCACATAAGTTATTTGGAGTTTCCCCCTATAATACATATTTCAATGCCAATCTTTCTCATATTTTTTGTGTCTATATACAACTATTTCTTGGAGGTAGTGACCAAGGAATGCATTTGAATTTTCATAAATGCTGCCACTTGCCCTCTTAGCAGTAGGTAAAAGTGCTTTACCGATTTAATCTTTTTTTTATCCAGAAATTTTAGAAAAACAACATAGCACCTAAAAACTCACCACCCTCAGATAACAGACATTACTATTTTTGGCCTCATAGTACTTGCACGTGCATGCATGTGTACACACACACACATACACAGTAATGGGGATGTACTGTACATGCATTGTAAAAATTAGACATTTTCAAAATGTAGTCATTTTTCTTTTGAACTTCTATCTCCCTTCATTTCCCCATCTTCCTGAAGCACTAATCATTTTAATCTATTACGGACTCTGGTTAAATATAGTAGATTGAAAGTATGCATTAACCTCTGTTCCCTCTCAAAACCCCACTAAAATGACAGCAAATGGGTAACAAAGGCATTATCCCCGAAGGACACAGAGATCAGCAGAATCCTGAACAGAAATGCACACAACAGTAAGGAAGCTAGAAAGCACATGGGTGGATCGGTAGTCTCTGGGCTGGCAGAAGAGGTAAAGCTGAAATTTCACTTCCCTCAGAGGAAGCTAATAACACACAAGCAGATTTGCACCTAAGGACCTCAGAAAAAGTTCAATATTTCAAGGTGTTATGGTTTGGGTCTAGATGTCCCCCTAAAGCTGCATTCGGTCATAGGTGTGTGAATCTAGAGTATGCAATGCTGTCATTAAGGGCATGTGATTACTAAATCAATACACTGATTGGTTTGGCACTGCCTTAATCCTGGTAATCAGGATAAGATAAAAGGGCAGGAAGATGCTGTTAAGGTTCTCTTGTTGCTTTTGCTACTGTGTGGGTGCCATGAACTGTTTCTCCTCTGCAACACCCCTCTGTGATGCCAGCCTGCCTTTGAGCCAGATGATTATAGACTGAAACCTCCACACACTGTGAGGTGTTTGGCTGTTGGGTATTTTGTCTCAGCAGCAAGAGAAAAGTAGCTAAGGAACAAAGCACCCGAAATCCCTTGGGAAAATCTGAAAACAAGAGTGACTTCAATTCAGCCTGAAATTCAGCAATGAAACCTGCAAATCCCTCCTTTACTCCCCACCCTCAACCGACTTCCGTACTCTACCCTGATGGAATACAAAATTTGACACCTGCAGAGGTTGGATGCCAGGCCTACAGATATGGAAATGCCAGGCACACATGCGGGACCAAGTGATATTCTGAACAAAGGCACAAGTGGATGTGCAGTGGTGGATTCAAATCCTCACACAGCTCTGGGAACCTTGGCAGCCAGACTTCTCCTTCCAGGAAGGAGGCAGGAGGCTTCTTCTCTGCAGGAACTGCTTCATAGACAAGTGTAGTATCAGTGCTCTGTCCCTACACTGTATACTTGAGCTGATCAATTTATTTATTTATTAATTATTATTATTATTGTTGTTGGTACCGAGGATTGAACATTGAACTCGGGACCTTGTTCTTGCAAGGCACGCAGTGAAATGACTGAGCTAAATCCGCAGCCCGAGCTGATCAATTTATAAAGAAAAAAGTATATTTTGGCTCATGGTTATAGAGGTTTTAGTCCAAGATGGGATGGCCCCATTGCTTAAGCTTGTGGCAGTGCATCATGGGGGAACACATGGTGGAGTAAAACTGCCTACATCACAGCCAGGAATGGAAAGAGAGAGGAAGTGAACACCTGAACACCTGCCACTGACCCCACCTTTTAAAGTTTCCACCACCTCCCATGATCTCCACCCGAGAGACCAAGTCTTTACATGTGGGCCTTTGGGGAACATTTCAGACCCAAAATATAGTAACAAGATATCAGACATTGTAGGCTACCCAAGTACCAAGTGCACACCAGAGCATTTGTCACTGAATTCATCAGTCAGACACACCCTCAGGATTCCAGTTATTAAGAAGAATATCCCTAACAGGAAGAAACAGAGACCCAAACAAATTAAGTGAAGAACTCAGAACCAAAGAAAATGCTTTTTAAAATATACTTAAAATCATCAGAGAGACAAGATGGGTATTGTTTTTATGGTATATTACCAGATAAAATTTTAGAAAGAAAATGTAAAGATAAAACAATAGCCCTCAGAAATGTAAAAAGTTATTAGCTAAATTCAATTTAAGGGTGGAAAGAAAAGTTAAGAGATCTCCTAGAAGATAAGATCAGAAGACAAACTGAAGGAAGTTAAAAAATCAGACATTCTTTTAAAAACAAGAGCATCAATCTAGAAGGCTCAACATCTAAAAACAGAAGTTTCAGAAATAAAGAGCTCATAAAATTGAAGAATGATAGGGTGGTGTTTAAGAAATAATAATAAATTCCTAAAAATTGAATAACATGATTTCTAAGCTTAAAGGAGATGTCAAATATCTACCACAATAGAATAAAAAAGATACTGAAATTTTAGCACACAGAGATAGATTGATACTCTCCAGAGAGGAGAAAAATCACTTAAAAGATCATTAACAATGAAAATGGCATGGCACTTCTCAACACAATATGGAAGCTAAATGTACTAGAGCAATATCTTCAGTGTTCAGAAAAAACTGATTTCAAGCTTGACATGTTATACCTAGCCAAATTACCCACCAGATATGAAGACAGAATGAAAACATTTTCAGATAGGCAATATCTCAAAAAATTTACTTCCTATACATCCTTTATCAAAAAACTGTTGTGCATCAAAGAAGGAAGGAAATAAAGAAAGAAGAAGACTTGGTATTCAGGTACAAGGGATCTTACATAGGAGCAAGACAAAGGGAAATTTCAGGAAAATGGATGAGGCAAGTCCTACAACTATACCCGTATAGCAAGCCTAGGGAGCAAACATATTGAAACAGTGTTGTTTCCAGAAGACAATGAAAGAAAATGGAAGACATGTATCCCCATTTTGACAATATTGAGGGTCATGTTACAGATCAGCATAAAGTTTAGTAGTAAGTTAATCAGAAAAACACAGAAAACTAATTAAATGAAGAAAAATTTAACAAGTGTGAATTTCAGGCAAAACAAAAGATTATAAAGAAATTATAGCCACAATGTATGAATTATAAATACATAATATCATAGTCAAAGTTATGACAACACTACAGAGCTATGATATCACTCCAAGAGGAAGATTGTAGGAAGAGAAGTATGCGTGGGGAGGTGGTAGTGAGGGTTGATGTACAATATCTCTGTCTTTATCTTCCTTAATGAAAAGTTAACTGGGCCAGGGATGTAGCTCAGCGGCATAGTACCTGCCTGGCAAGCGCAAGGTCCTGAGTTTGATCCCTGGTACCAAAACAAACAAACAAAAAAGAAAAATTAATCAACACAGCAAATTACAAAATAAAAACTAAAGTTATAAAACATGTTGTTTAGAATGTAGAGGTAAATACCAAAGAAAGAGATAAATGGAAATCATTCTCTTTGGGGCAGGAACTATAACTTTTCATAGTGGGTCATATAACTATTTGGTACATATATTTCTTATGACTAAACATTAAAGCTAGAATTAAAAGACTTACCATATGTCATCTATACTTTGTCAATGTTCACATAAATATTCACAAGATAGATACATCCACACATATACATGCATAGATGTAAGCATATCTCTCTCCATATATATATTAGTACCTTAGTTCATGAGCTTAATTTGTTCTATGATTTTGGAAAAGATGGCTACATTTGTGTTTGTGTGGGAAAGATGGCTGCGGTCATGTGTGTCACTCAATGCAGAGTTTGCAAACAAAAACAAAATTTTACCGAATTGTTTGCAACAAAAGCATTTGTGAACCAAGGTACCACTATGTGTGTGTGTGTGTGTGTGTGTGTGTGTTTATGCATATTTTGTCTTACAGAAGAATTACATCATTTCATATACACTACACTGTGTTAATCAACTTTTCTCCATTAAGACAAATACCTGACACCCAAAACTTAAAGGAGGAGAAGTTTATTTGGCTCACAATTTCAGAGGGTTCAGTCCATGATCAGTGAGCTCCAAGGCAGAATTAGCATCACAGAAGGGCATGGTGGAGGAGAGCTTCTCAATCCATGGCAGTGAGAAAGCAGAGAGAAAAGGGAGGAGCCAGGAACCAGAATACACCATTCCAGGCCACACCCCCAGTGACTGCCTCCAACTAGGCCCCATCTCCTAACAGCGCATTCAGCTATGGATGCATCAGTGGATTAATCCACTGATGAATATAATGCCCCCAGGGTCCATTTATCTTCCTAAAACCCCACCTTTAAACCTATGGGACTTTTGAGGGACACTTTAGATCTGAATCATAACACATCTTTCCACGTCTTTCTTCATCCTGCTTTCCATAACAATATACTATGGAAATCCTTCCAAGTCAACTGGTATCGAATCAACTTTTTAAATGATTGTATATTGTTCCATGTGTGCCTGTATAACAATTTATTCAATTATTTCTCCTTTAAGGGCACTGACTTTATTTCCAAGTTTTGGGTTTCTTATTTTGTTTGTTTTTGCCACTACACACACTGCTGCAGTTAACATCCTTGAATATATATGCTTAATTTCTATGAGATAGTTTCCCAGGAGGTTGTAGAGTATGTATACTTTATTTTAATAGCTACTTTAAAAAGGCATTCCAGCAATGAACAAGAATATATAGTTTATCAAGGTCTTATATATATAGTTTATCAAGGTTTTATATCCTTCAATGAAATTATTGTTTTATTCCCATATATCATAATGCTTCTTGCTAGACTTATCACAAGGTATTTTATTACTTCTTTTGGAACTTGATAAGAATTATTTAGTAATTCAAAATATTTGAGGATATACCTGTTACTTTTCTATCATGACCCAGTATCTGGCAATCTGGCTGAAGCTTCTTATTAATTCTAAGAGCTTTATTGCTGGTTTTCCTGGATTTTTATGGGCAGATAGTTTTTCTTTTATTCCTTTCCAAAATTTTACCATACTCTGTTTTTCTCATCTTACATTGGTTAGACTCTCCAGAAAAGTATTGAATAATAATGGGGACAAAAGTCATCTTTGTGGGCCGAGGATTTAGCTCAGTGGTTCTGCCATCTGCTTCGCAAGCACAAGGTCCTGAGTTTGATCCCCAGTACCAAAAAAAAAAAAAGTCATCTTTGTTCTGTCCTTGACATTTATGAGAATATTTCTAATATTTCCCCAATTAACATGATGTCTATAGGATTTCTGTAGTTGAGAGTCATCATCCAGTAATAGAAACATCCTTGTATTCTTAGCTTGCTAAGAGTTTTTGTTTTTTTGTTTGTCTGTTTTTGGTACCGGGGATCGAACTCAGGACCTTGCACTTTCGAGGCAGGCAGTGGCACCACTGAGCTAAATCCTGGCCAGTTTGTTTCTGTCTTAATAAGGGATGGTTGCCACATGTTGTCAAACTTTTTGGGGGGGGGCAGATTTGTTTTGGTTTTGAGCCTATTGAGATGGACCATATGAATTTTACAGCTATTGAGATGATCATAGTGCATTTCTTTGTTAATCTGTTAATGTGCTTAACCATATGAATGGATTTTCTAGTGCTGAGTCATCCTGGCATTCCTAGGAGTTAGTTACCATGTTCCTAACTAGCCTGAAGCAGTCTCTTTCTGTCTGGTTTTGGTATGAGGGTTGTGCTAGCCCCTAAAACAAATTGCGAATGTTTTTGTACTTCTAGGCTCTGAAAATTGGGAAATGATAGAGTGAAGCCACAGAATGGGAGGTACATGATAACCAAGTGCAGTGGCCAGCATTTAAGCACTGCCAGGGACAGGATGCACAGGAGCACAGAAATGGATTAGGGGTCAAAGCCAGTCCAGCCTGCTGCCATAGTAAGCAGGAGGCAGGCAGAGGCACACCTTGGAGGCACAGAACGATTTGGGTCAGTCTAAGCCCTAGAGGGTTTTAAGTGGAAACATTATATAATCAAACCTGCAGTTTTAAAAGATTACTCTTTCTTGAATAGGTGTCCACTAAGTTTGACCTTTGAGATCCCTGGGAGACCAGTTTGAGGCAGCCCCAGAACACAAGCTCAACACAGGGAACCCCAGGCTTCTGGCCTGTACCTTGCTGATGGGGTACCCATCACTGAGATGGCAAACCTGGAGGAAGAGCACGTCTGGAAACAGACCAGAGGGCAGCGGTGGAAGTGCTGTGTGTGAGGCAGAAGCTTTGAGTCCAGGCACAAGGTGCAAACCCCAGACAGGTGGTTGGGACTGAAGGGGCCACTGGGGAATCACTAGACTGGAACAGAGCTGGGGGCCTGGGAGAAGTCACCTAGGGCGGGAGTGAGAGGAGAGGAAGGCTTCCACAGAGCCTGGAATATGACATCACAATCTGGTGCAAGTGGTCAAACCATCTGTGGTGCTGAGGACTTGCCAGTGGATGAAGAAGAAAACAAGGACAAGGTGATAAGGAGGGGTTGGCAAAGTCCGATCCATTTGGGAGCCACAGAAAATCAGGACTGAAAATGTAAAAGGGAGGTCTCTGATCATCTCCCTAATCTGTCCCACCTGCAACCCTCCCCATCACTTGGCTTGACCCCATCTCCCAGCAGCTCAAAGCCAAGTAGTTTTCTGGCTTCTGCTTTCTCCGCATCCCACATCCACCCTTTGGTACTTCTGCTCAGGTCTACCTTCAAAATCTCCCCAAGGTCAGGCCACAGCCCAGCACACTGCTTCCACCACTCTGTCGCTGTCAACTCTCAGCTAACTGGGCTCCCTGCTTCCACTGTGCCCTCTCCTGCTCATCCCGCCCAGGGACCATCATGATCCTTGTAAACCAAACCACCGGTTGGGAACAAAGCTGCAGGTCCTTGGAGTGGCGTCCAGGGCTGGCACAGTCATCTCCCTACTTGGCTGTACTCATTTCCTTGTGCTCTCCCTTCCAACCACTCACACTTCCTGCTCTTCCTCCAATGTGGCAGCATGCTCCAAATGGGGCCTTGCCCCGGCCCTTGCATTTCCCTGTAAATCCTCCTCCCAAATTCCTGCACAGTGTGCCCCTACTAAGACCTGTTCCACTCCTCTTCAGATACCTTTCCTATTGACAATTGCGACCACCCTTGCCTGCCCCTTCTCACAGCTCCCCCCCCCCCAACATGCGCCAGCCTCCAGCACACTGTATATTGTATCATTTAAGGTGTCTGGCTCCTCACTTTCCGGAAGATGGAGATTCTTTCCTGCTACTCACCACTGTGGCCCCAGCACCTGGTGAATGCGAGCTGTGGTCCACAGTTGAAGTTCAAAATATATGGGTTGAATGATTGAAAGCAGTGGTAAGAGAAGGAGGGGAGGCAGAGGGCCGGCCCTGAGGTAGGGGAAGTGCTAGGGAGATGGGACTTTCCAAGCTCCTAAAGCAGACCCCAAAGGTGGGCCTTGTGCCTCTACCGCAGGACAGGCCTCCAGGGGCAAGAAGCCAGGGATGGAGGGGGAGAGTCCTGCCCCAAGGCTGTGTGGCTCAGGAACGTATCTTTTATTTTATTTGTCCCTAGGCCACCCGCCCATGCCCAGGGGAATACGTGGCCTGTGCTCTCTGAGCCTCAGGCTGCTCCTGTGCACGTGGGAGGTGATCCGAATGCCCAAAGGGGGACCAGGAGAGGGTTGGGCAGGCTGGGGCAGACCAGCGAATGGCTGTGGACCTGCCCTGTATCCACTGCGCGGCAGCACCGCAAAGATGTGCGACCCCTTTAGAGGGGCGAGGCAGGCGCTCGCTCGGAAGAGAGAAATGCTGCAGAAACCCCAGGGGGCAGGGTGGAGTGGGCGCGAGACTCGGCGTCGTGGGATACACGTGAAAGGCACGTGGCTCTTCGCCAAGTTGACAGGGAGGAAATGCACCTGGAGTCGGGGAAGGCTGGGCTGTGGCCTTCCTAGGGCATCGCCCGGTGCCGACCCCGGGTGAGACGGGTTCATGCAGCTGGGCGCAGAGGCTGAGGAACTGGCACATCGCTGCGATGTGCCTTTCTGGACGCCCAAATCCTCCCCATTTGGCCACCCTTTGCACCCGCCACTTTCTCAGAGTAGATTTACTTTCAATCGCCATTTGCTAAATCTGTCCCCTGTAAACCTCCGAGGAGGGCGGGCGGGATTAAGCCCCGCTACAGATGTAGAAGAGAGCCCGGGAGCTCCAGGGCTGAGAGGCAGGCAGAGGTGTGGGCGCCGCAGCCCCGCTCCTCCTGGGCTGCCCCGGCTGCCCGCCGGCCTTGTCCCAGGCTCGGGCCCTGCCCAGCCCGCCTCTGCGCAGCCCGGGAGAGGGGAGAGGGCCGCCTCCACGCAGCAGGCCGGCTCGCGGGGTGCATGAGGGAGATGAGCAGCTCCTTCAAGCGGGGTTCACTCAAGAGCTCCACGTCAGGCTCCCAGAAGGTGAGTGAGCCCCGCGCTGAGGCTGGAGGGAGAGGGGCGAGGCCTCCAGCTCTGCCGGCTCCTGAGCATTATCCGGTGGGCCTGGGTATCGTCTGGCCCCCTTTAGAGGTGACCCCGCATTTCCTGCCACTGTGCCCGTGGTGTCAGCTGCTGCACAAAGCACCCTGGGAGGTGTCTGGGTGTGAGTCATGCAGAGCTGTAGTCCTCGCTGCGCTGTGTGGGCCGCACACTCCTGAGTCAGCACTGGGTGGGGGTGGGGGGTTGCACAGCTCCATTGCCCTATGGTGGGGACACCGGGTCCAAGCTCTCTGCCGCTGGACTCTGCACCCATCTTCCTTCTGAGTCTGACGTGGGTAGGACCACTGTGTGGGCGCTGCGGGGCGCAGGGTGACCCAAGTGTGGGCCTTGGCCTCAGGGCGCTGAGTCTGCCAGAAGAGGGGGCCCTGCAGGTGTCTCTAACAGGAGGGAGGCCCTAGTGACACTAAGAGGGTCCTGGGCAGGCCAGTGGTTCCCAGGACTCACAGCAGGCTGGGCAGAATGGGCCTTCCATCCCCTCCAGGCAGAGCCATTCGGCAGAGGTGCTGATCTGAATCTGAGGTGAGCTTTTCTGAGAATGCTGACCCTGAGCACCCAGGGCTGCAGGAGATGCAGGAGGCCTGGACAGGCCACTACCTTACCCTGCTGCCCACAGGAGGGGCTGCAAGGAGGAGCTCAGTGCAGACTACACGGAGGCCCCTGGGTGTCTCCTGCTGAGCCCCAGGAGCTCAGTGGGGATCTCTGCTCCTTCAGGGTGCTGTAGCAGAGTGGGGAGGCGGAGAAGGAGCAGACAGGATGTGCCCTTTCAGGAACACTTTCTCAGCGCCAGCCCCAGGGACAAAGCCAGTGAGGCAGCATGACTGGGCGAGTGCCCACAGAAAGGGGACTTGCTTGGGTTGGACACGGGGTCAGCACTCAGGAAGTCACCGCCTCAAAGGCAGTCTCCATGTGTGCCAACCGGGACTCGGCAAGGGTCAGGCATCTCTGACACCACTAGCCTGAAAATGCAAATAGAGAAAAGCAAATAGCGTTTTTATCTTTATTTCTTAAACTTCGCCCTTGTTTTAAGAATAGGAAAGATGTATCCTCTGAGGACTCCGTGGGGGACAGGCACATCTATCTGCTTCAGCATGCACGTGCGAGAGTCAGCATTATTTTTAGAGACAGTGCACACCCACTGTCTTGTGTAAATTAACATTCACAAATCTACCACTGCTTTTGGCAGGAACAAGAGACTCACATGCTGCTAGCTGTTCGGCCCAGGGCCACAGGGCTCCACATGATCCCCCTGCAACACAAAGCTGGTCCATGCTGTTCTTGCTGATAAGCTCTGAAAAGGAGTGGGCTTTGTTGGTGGTGAATTTGATGATCCTGGTGACCTCTGCTTAGTATGCAGCCTTATGAGCAGCAGCATCTTACCCAGCTGCAATTGCTAGTCTGGGAGGAGGGGATTCAACTAGAGGTAAGGAGAGAAGATGCATTTAGATTTGGGTCAAGGTTGAAAAACAGCACCTCATTCATAGACACACACACACACACACACACACACACACACACACTCCTCCAGGAGTACACACTGACAATTACAGTACTTCAAGTCCAAAGGCCAGGATGAAAGATCACCCTATCTTTTCCAAGGTCACTTTACCCAATGGGCTCCTACAAATGGGCTGGCAGTGTAGCACAGTGGTAGAGTATGTGTGTGGCTTGCATCAGGCCCTGAGTTCAATCCCCAGCACAACCAAGATCATCACCACCACCATCACCATCATCATCACCATCATCACCATCATCCTCCTCCTCCCCAAACTCCTACAATAGCTCAATGCAGTTAAAAAGTCGGAATGGTATGGCTTGTCCTTAGGCCTATTTATAATAGCTCTCAAGCTAAGAGGTAAAATTACTGATGGAAGAACGAAAGACAGTGCCTACAGCTTTTAAGGGAGCTCTTCTTTAGGGAGATACTAGGAAACATTCATATCACACAGGCCAAAGCGGAGTGTTTTCTTGCATACTTGGCCCTCCTTTGAGCTCAGCAGCCCAGTGCCAGTTCTATTTAACTAAAAACCCACCCCTCTGCCCAGTGTTTGCTGAAACACACCAGCTGCCCAGTGGAAAGGAAAAAACACAAACTACACTGCCTGTGAGTCTCCGGAGGGTCATCTCTCCCGGACCCCTGGTTGTAGAAGGCAGATCTGACCCTTTGTCCTTGGCTGGTCGCTTCTCCCCATGCAGAAGCTCTTCCCTTGGCCACAGACCCACAGGATGCACAGTGTGAACTTCTAAGCCATGAACGAACCCAGTCCCCACTGGGGCCCCTAGAGTGCCAGCCCTCAGCAGCCTGCTTGCTGGGAGCCCCTGCTGGCAAAAACAGTCCCCCTTCCAGGAAAAGTCTCCAAGTGTTCCTGCAGGAGATGGAAAATGTGATTCCTTGTCTAGCACTTCCCTCCCTGTCTGCATTGTAGTTTGCTAAAAGATGCACCTAAAATTTGGAGTTGAAGATCAGAGTCCCAAACAAATTTGAATAATAGTATAACCCAGCAATTATACACTAGACTCTCTTAGAAAAATTCCAACTTATTTGCCCAAGGAAATGTATATCAGTCATGTCAGCAGTGCATGCAATAGAGAACCAGAAGCAAGCGAGTGGTTTACCTGTAAGGTTTGAGTAAGGTTTTGTTCACTCAGGCAATAGAATACCATACAGCACTTAAAATGAAGAAACCGAGCCACTATATCAACGTGGATGTATCTCAGAACACGCTGTTGAATTTTTTTTCCCTTTGGTACTGGGGGATCAAACTCGGGACTTTGCACTTGTGAGGCAGGCAGCAGAACCACTGAGCTAAATCCCCACCCCTGTTGAATTGTTTTTGAGCCCCCAGAACACACTATTTATAGAAAATCCCAAAACATAGAAGGAAATCCAAATTAAAGACATGTATTTCTATAGGGTGGAGGCAATTAGCTCTATCTGTAATTTTCTCTCTCTCTTTTTCTCCTTCCTTTCCAGCTTCCTTTTCTTTCTTCCCCCCTTCTTTCTTTCTTCTCTTCTGTTGAAGAGAGTAAAAAATATAAGCACATCTGGAAAGTCGTCACAGCTATAAAACAAGGCTGTGGGTCTTCAGCTGTCACTTACATTCGTTTTGCCAGTGATTCTGAAATCAAAGGGATGCGGCCACAATTTGGAAATGTTTTCATATCTTTGTAGCGAGCCATAGAAAGAGTAGGAATAAACCAATGTGTGTGGGGGAGGGCTGCTCCCCGGGCACAACTGGACCCTCAGGGTCCCTCCGCCTGAGGCACACGTGTCACTGTGGTGTGAGGAAGGCACCCACAGACTCACCCGGGACATTGCGTTTCCTGCCCTCTAGGTGCTGGCTTTGTTCCTTCCATGTCTGCGGGCCTGGCGTACCTGGGGAACACGGGCACTGTCACCTCAATAACAAGGCACTAAGGCCAGACCTGGCTTTCCTTGAGGCCGTGTTACCCCAACTTCTCAGATGGTGTGGCCAGACCTGGGGTGATCTTGAGCGTGTTCCTCTGGCCTATGCTTGGAATCCACTTGAATGCAGAATGCCGTGTGTAAATCCCAAGCAGTTCCCACCCGGAGGAGCAGGGATCCGGCAGCCCTGTTCACTGAAGGCACCTGACCCCATTCCCCGCCACCCGTCTCCCTGCAGCTTCAAATCACACACGGACTAAAATCCCAACGCCCTCTGGGGGAAGGGCCAATTTTCCATCCACCGGAGACAGACTTTCACACAAGGCAATTAAAGCAGGTGGCTAAAACATGAAAAATTTAAAAGACATTTAAAAAACAAGCCCTACAGTTTTTCCTAATTATTAAATTTCATAGTTATTTATTTACTTATTTATTTTTTTGGTACCAGGGATCAAACTCAGGCCCTTACGCTTGGGAGGCAGGCGGTGGAACCACTGAGCTAAATCCCCGGCCCTCATTGTTGTTTATTGGTCCCTTCAAATTGCTAAAATCGTGTCTGAACGGGGACTCTTGCTCTCTGCCATCCCCGATCATGGCCAGTGGCTCAGCGCATGCTTTGAGGCTCTGGACCTTCTGCTCGTCCCATCCAGCCCTCTCCGAGTGAAGCCCTTTGAGGCAGGCACCCTGGTGCCCTTTTGGTGGAGGAAGATTTTCGGAGGTGGGCTGCCTTGTCTAAGGGTGCCAAGCTGGGCTCCATCTTCCGGCCACCTGGCCATCTGCCTTTCCTGAGGCTCACCTTCCAGGGCGGTGGTACCCGGGCTGCTGAGGATGCCTCTCGCCCGTCCTCCTGTAACTCCTGCTGCTGTCATGCCTGTCTCACAGTCTCTGAGCTGGGCAGATGGCCCCAAGTCTGTGTGGATGAAGGACTCTGTGGGCACTTCTGCCCCAGGAACTGGCCCCAGACCCTGTGCCTGTACCTGAGTAGTTACCCAGGCAACTGCCTTTGGTCAAAGGTTGCAGGTCCTGAGCAGTGTGGTCCAGGCCCGGACCCCTGAGTTTGAGGGCAGCCCAGCTGGCTACCAAGTGCTCCCTTAGCCTTATGACAACAGGTCACCCTGGGCTGGCATGTCCAGGCCTGCCTCTGCACCTTGCTGGGATCACCCCCACTGTCCGAGGAGGCCGGAGCCCAGTGCCCACTCTTTGGATTCCTTGCTTTTCTGTGGCCCCTCTTCTAGCCCAGTGGCAGGGAGATACTTGCCTTGATCGCCCACCCAAGGGACAAAGCCTCAGGGTACACTGGGGAGGGGAGGGGAGGGAGAAAGGCAGGGGCTGGGCCAGGGCATCTTCCCCCATGGATGTGACTCCCTGGGGTGCCAAGGAGAGAGTGACAGAAGATGCTGGGATGGGGACATGAAGTCAGCGTGGGGGAGACGGTCCTAGTGGACAGCAGCCAGCTGGTGAGGAGGTCGCCCAGGGCTGGGTCCCGGGGAAAGAGCAAGCAGGTCTGACAGAGGCCGGGGTACTGTGGGCCAGGGCCGGGAGGGACCCCAGTCCCCGACTGTGCTGGTCCCAGCCAATCCATGGTGAGGGCCTCCCTCACACCTGCTGAGTCACCAGCACAGCCTAGAGGCCCCTGTAGGGTCAGGGTTCAGAGAGGGGAGCACCGTGTCATCGAACTGCATGACTTGCAAGAGGACGCCAGGGAAGACCCTTGAAAGAGGGCTGTGCTGGACAGAAGGCAGAGTCAGGAGACACATGGCTGCTTTGTTTAGTTGGCCTGAGCAATGAGGGAGCGGGGTCTTCAGACAGAGTTCCCACAACAGCTCAACCAAGCGCGCCCTGGGAGCACCAGCGCGAGGGCATGCCCAGCTGCAGGAGAAAAAGGGCTCCAATCCCGACTTTCTGCACAACCTGAGGACGGGCTCCACCCTCCACCCAGACCCCACCCGGGGCATGCAGACTGGCAGAGGTTGAGGCAAAGGAGGGTGCTGAAATGGTTAAGAAAGATGACAAAGAAAAAGATTTTGCTGCCCAAAGTCACTATGGAAGCATATGTATTCACCCGTAGAATTCGTTCAGGTTTCGATACGGACAAAACCGGCAGGCCGCCCAGGTGGAAGAAGGATTTCACAGACACACCTGAGCAGCCACTGCAGCCCGGGCGTCAAGGCCTCCACAGCTCTCAGCTGCCCAGGACGGCCGCGCTGGGCCCTGACACCTACTGCACTAAACCGAGTAAGGAGTCATTGCTGGAGCACTCAGAACACTTGGTTTCTTCCAAACAGCCAGAGAGCACTCACTGTACCTTCCCCTTCACCTGGTGAGCTGCTTTCCTGGGGATGCAGCTAGAGCTGGCCAGGACTTCAGAAAGCCTCTTCTCCTGTTCCCCCACCCAGAGCCGACAGGGACCGCTGGCCTCCCTCTGTCCATGCATGTCTTCCCCGCAGCCCAGACTGTCCCCAGTCCCCAAAGCCACAGTGAGTGGGCCAGAGCTCCCACGGGGTCTTTGCTCCAGGCCCCTCCAGGTCACCCTGTCTCCGCTCCCTCTTTCCCCACGCATGCACACAGCAATTGGATTCTAGGACTTGCTTCCTGGTGCTGGCCCTCGGCACCTCCAGGTTCCCCCTAGGCAGAACTGGGAGGTGGCTGTCAGGATAGTCAAGGGCAGGTTGCTGCAGACCGCAGGGCGGGCAGCAGGACACCCCTGGGTGCTGCCCTAGCCTCCTGGCTCCCGGCAAGCGTTGAGGATCACCAGGCAACCCTGTCCTCTTATAAACAGAACCGAGACCCAGCTGGGCTGTGTCTGTGTGCTACGTCCCTGGTGTCCTCAGTGCTCCCTGCTGTCTGACTCACAGTCACAAGATCAAGAGGCCAGTGTCCCGCGGTGCTCCCACCATCTGTCATAGTTCGTTTTCTGTCTCTAAACTGGGTCATTTACCAAGGAAAGAAGTTTGCTTGGGCTCATGATTCTTGAGGCTGGAGAGTCCAAGACCAGGCAGCCATGCTTGGTGAGGACCTCGTGCCACCTCATAACCTGGTGGAAGGCAGAAGGGTGACAGGTACATGCAGAAACGGACAGGGCCCGGGGGCAGCCCCGGCTGTGGCAACCCGTCCCCGTGAGAAAGCATTGATTCCTCTTCTCCCCCTCACCTCTTAAGGACCTCCGACACCAACACAATGGCGAGTTTCAGTGTGAGTGCTACACGGCCTTCTAATTTCAAAAATGCCCCGCCAAGGGTTTTGTGGCTGAAGACAGCAGTTCCTGCATTCAGAGGGCAAGCGTGGCAGGGCCGAAGTCGTCCAGAATCCTGTTCCTGGGCTTGCCCTGCTCCTGGGAGTCCCCTGGGGCCAGGGTTGGGCCACCCCCCCCATCACCTATCTGGAGGAGGTGCAGCAGCTTCTCCAGTCCTCCCAGAGACCCTGTGAGGACGGCCTCCGCACAGCCGGCCACACAGGACGGAAGTAGGCAGGGAAGTTATCGTCAGGTCTGCCTTCACAAACACAGGATTAAACCATTCTCAACGCTGTAGCTTTTTTTTTAATGGTTTCACTTACTCTTTAGTGGTGACCCTACGAATCCATAGGTTTAGATCTAGCTCCATCTTGTTTTTCCGGTGAGCTCATCTACATATATATCCTTGGTTGTAATGGGATCTTCTTTTTAATTTTAAAAGATTTTTATTTTTTATTTTTAAATTGACCAACAAAATGTATATATATTTATCATATGCAACATGAAGTTTTGAAGTATATTAATGAGGTCTGTCTTTATTCTGTTTGTCTTTTTTCTTTTGTCCAGGAAGCTCAAATTAGCCTTGGGGATATACAACCTGCCATAATTCTCTATGTGTAATAACGTGCATATATGTCAAATGTACATGTGTACCTAAGGATTCGGGCAGTGTTTGCTTCTAAAGATGGAATGTGGAGGAGGAAGCATCATTTCCTCCTCCACCCTTCATGAGATCTTAGCTGAGATTCCTTGCAGCAAAAGGCAGATTAACACAAGAATAAGAAACTGAATAACATGTATACCTCCTGTATACCTGGGAGATAATCCAGAAAGATGAGAAATCGGAAGAGTAGATCTCAAAGAGCTGGCTTAGACTTCAAGTTTAAATATGATTATTCTTTTTTTTTTAAAAAAATATAATTATTCTTGAAATAAAGAAATAAGGGTGTGGAAAAGTCCTGTAAAAACAAGATGAATTGTTCTACAGATCTAAGTGGTGCCTTTTCCACTGACTGTGAGTCTTTTGTGATTTGGAGTCCTCTTTCTCTTCCTGATCCAGAGACAGAGAGGCACCTTACAGAAATCTTTCCTTAGCAATGTAAATTTCCCTTACAAAAAGCTCACCTCTTTTCTGTTTCCAAAGCTTTTCTTATGTCTGCAGTCTTCCAAAATAACTGGCTCAAAATAACACTTGTTCCAGAGCAACATACTTGCAGTGGCATACTCTGTTCTCCGACAGTCGTATTTTAGGTTTGCGTGTCCTGCACTCCATCAGGATCACAGTTAACATGCTTCTCTGCGTCTTAGGACATAGGTGACATAAGATACCTAGAAGCAGCCCAAGCTCTTCATTTGGAGAAACTGAGGCTCAGAAAGGTGTGCTGTGCTCAGCTTGGCTGGGCCCACCCTGCCCTATGAGGGCAGGCACCATCCCTGCCGGTCTCCAACTGTCCAGCTGCATGGGCCTCCCGCTGCTCCTGCCCACCTCGCCTGAGAGGATCCTTTGCACCAGCTGGTCCCTCTCTCTGCTCTCTTGTCCCAGACAGCCGCTGGCCTGCCCCTGCCACTCTTCTGGCTACCCTCATTTGAATCAGCCACTCCCACAGAACCCCCTTTTCCCCTTCCTAGCCCCATCATGTGATGTATCTACTTGTTGGGTTTTTTTTTGGTACCGGGGATTGAACTCCGGTCCTTGCACTTGTGCAGCAGGTAGCGAAACCACTGAGCTAAATCCCCGGCCCTTGATGTATCTACTTGTTGACGCATCCTCAGGCCACTGGAGTAAAACTGCAGAGAGCAGGGCCTGTCCACGCTGTGTGCGGCCCAGAAAGCACCTTAGATCCTCAGGTGTGGTTGGTCCTCTCGGCACTGTGCTCCTTGGTGTTCTTCGCCCTCAGTCCATTATCCCAGCCTGACTGCCAGGGCATCTCTCCACATTCCTTGGTGGTCAGAGAGACCACTGTGTAGGATCTGAAACAAACCAAGCCAAATGAACGTGCACTCAGGTCACTGGCCCACCGCTCGAACCAGAGGTCTCCACCAGGAAGAAGACTCTAGTTCGCCACGGGCTTCCTCACTAGGGTCTTATGTTCCCTGAGCGCTCTGAAGCAGATGTGTTTTTTAGTATTAGTTATCATGGTTATTAACAAAAAGGACCTCATCTGCCTGAAGTACTTAGGGCCTCTCATTTCATTGGGCAGCCAGTGGCCGCTTTTAGGGATCTCTAAGTAGCACCAAAAGAAATGGACCATGCATGGCCACTTATGGACTGGAATGGGACTAGAATACTCAACCAGTGAGCCAGGTGCCACCAGACCGACTTGGACTGAGAAGGGCTAAGGCATCTTGGAGCCCCAGCCCACCACCAGGGGCCCCCAGCCCAGCTCGCTGCCCTGCCCAGCTCTGGTGTCTGGCTAAGGACCCACCGCCCTCTCGTTCCTCTAGGTTGGGCTCACAGGCCTTTCCCACCCTGGTACCTACAAGGGCACCTGCTTAGCAGAATCCCCTGCACATGGGAGGAGGGCACCTCCACTGCTTTCCCCAGGCTACTCCCCAACAGCCTCTCCAGAGAATGTGCTCTGGCCCAGGTGAGGCCAGTGGGAAGGCCCCTGGACCGCCTCGGGAGATGGAGGCCCCACAGCAGGTAAATCTAGAGAGGAAAAGCATCCTGGCTGAGGAGGGCGGGGAGGAAGGACGCAGCCCAGCCTTGCAGTGGCCTAGCATGGAGCTCGCACTTCGCCAGGCAGTCCCGGGACCAGGGGCACAGGGCGCTGGTAATCCTCATAACGGCCCCAGCAGTGGTGCGGCAGCTGGCTGGCCTAATGCTCCTTAATATCTGCTTCCATGTGATTAGCGGCTGTGGATAAAACCTTGATCCTGCAAAAGCAGGCTGGGCTGCTAAAGCCCAGCCAAGAGCATCACTTTGGTGATGGTGGGAGCTGGCGTCATTTCAGCGTTTTGCATTTTAGCCAAGCCATCATCTTAGTATGTAAGGAAAACAGATGAAGAGACTGGAAACTAGATTCATGGACAGCCCAGAGCAGGGACAGGAGGGAGATGGGGCTGGGCCTGACGGTGGAGGTGAGAAAGCAGGGAGCCGAGGGCCCTCACTCACAGGCCGACCACTCACTTCTCCACTTTGCCTCCACCGCTGGGCTCACATTGTCTCCCTAGGCCTCCCCTTGACCACCCCAGGCTGACCAGTGGCCCAAGATGAGATGAGTTTTACCACTGGAGGGTCCACACGTCTTTCTCTGTGTGCAGTCTTTCCACCTGCACCTCATCTACACCTGTGGTCAGGGGGATGGGTGAAGAAAGGTCAGCTGCCATTCAGGGAAGGGAGGGCACTGGTCCTAGAGGACCTCGATGTTCCTGGTTTTAACCCTCCAGTTGTGCGGCTGTGCCCAGGGGCCCAGGGGACAGTGGGGTCACCCAGGGGGCTCTGGACTGTGACCCGCAGAGAAGCATCCTGATCCTACACAGTTGGCCATCCACGGATTCAACCATCCATGGATGGAAAGTGCTGTATCAGGGAAAGCACTATGTCTGTATTGAACTTGTGCATATTTTTCCTTGTTATCATTCCCTAAACAACACAGAATAACAACTAGTTACACAGCATTTATGTTGTATCGGGTACTTTAAGTCATTAGAAATTACTTTCAGGCACGTCCATCAGCCTGCTGTTTATTTTTCAATGTTACAATAAAAAGTTTACTACTTATACAAGCAACTATATTATATGTTCCACATGTGAACAAGACAATTCCTTTGCACTCAAAATGGGGGGCAAAAGCCCTGTGGGTCTCAGCCTGGCATGCCCGAGGGTCGTGCAGTTATATGCAGATGCTGCAGCATTTCACCAAGTCCCTTTCTGGAACCAATCCCTCTTGGAAGCCAAGGAGCGAGTGTGATCTCCTCCAAAGAGCAGCCTGCCTGGGGCGTGGAGGAACTGGGCACCATGCTGGGTTCTCCAGTGCTCTCTAATTTCTGGGCTAGAAGGACCACCACACCCTGTGTCCAGTGCATTCAAAGGGACCACAGAGGACTGACACATCCGGGCCGTTTTTAGCATATACAGTGTTGGAGTTGTCCCTTTTCTTTCAGGTTTTTTTTGGAGACAAGGTCTCGATATTAGTTCAGGCTGGCCTGAGGCTCACAACAATCTTCCCGCCTCAGCCTCCCGAGTGCTGGGATTACAGGCAAGCATCACCACACCGGCTCTGGAGTTGTCCTCAATACACACGTCCTTTATTTCTTTTTGCTTCTCTGTTCCTGTATATAAGACCCTTGTAACTAATGACATTGGGTCAAACCATTTTAACTTTCCATTTGTACAGGTAAAGAAACAGTCAAATAGCAATTTCATAGCTTTTAGGAAGTTGGCAAACTACAGCTAGGGGTCGGATTGGCTCCGGAGGCCGCCATGTGGGGGCAGCAGAGAGCTGGATTGGCAGATCCTCCCTCCCAGGCAGGATGGCCAACAAATAGCCTCAGCTGGTAGAATGCACTGTTAACCCAGTCCGCTGGATTTTTAACTTACTTTATCGGATTTTTTTTAGTACTTCAGTTTCTTGTTGGTTATTCTGCAAAGCTGTTAAGGTACATTTTGTAGTTTTCAGTGTTCTGCAAATTTTTCAACCATGTCTTCTATCTTCTTGATCATATAAATATTGTTGCATTGAAATTGTGTCTGATTATTCCAATATATGGAACTTCTGGAGGTCTTTTTATCTTTTCTTTTGTTTCTGCCAGTTCTTTTTCATGCCTTCTTGCATTTCAAAATAACTGGTTGTATTTAAGTAAGTGCCATGAATAGTATTTGAATAATTGTTTGTAGGAATGATTTGAGGCTTGGGATGATATTATCTTCTTCCAGAGAGGATTTTATCTTTTTTCTCAAGCACTTTGAGGCATTAGCAATGTAGAACCACCTTAAATCTCAGTAGGAACGGAGCTTATCTGAGTCACCCAGTGGACCCTGAGCTCAGGAGCAGTTCCTGTGTAGACTAATAATTCATTCCCTCTTATTCTGAACGAGTGGATTTTAAGGTCCCAATCCAATCCGACAGGGAGTTTACCATGGCCCGTACCATGGCCCAGGATCTGAGAATTCAACTCAGCATTAAGATCAAAACTCCTCAACGTAGAAAAGATCCATGTCTTTCTCTGAGGTTTTACCACTCAACAGGAAAATTCAGGCTAAATGCCCACTGGGGAAGGTACAGAGCACCAGAACAGCAAGGGTAAATCCCAAAGTGATGCAAGGGTCCCCGGCAGAGAGACCGTATGGCAGATAGGCAGGTGTACGGTTCTGGCACCTGCCCGCTCCAGGTCCATTCTGGAGCTGCCCCTTACTCGCTCTGACATGTAGAACAGGTCACTGGGTCTCATGGTGCCTTACAGCATCTCATATGTAATATGGCTGTAATCATAGGACTTCTCTCCTGATGCCATTGTGAGTATTTTGGGGGGGGGGTATCGAACTCGGGACCTTGTGATTTCGAGGCAGGCGGTGAAACCACTAAGCTAAATCCCTCGCCCGATTGTGAGTATTAAGAGTTAATTTGCATTTCATACTCACCAGGATAGCTAGTAACAAAAAGTAAAAACAAAATTAAGCAAACAACAAATGTTGGGAAGGAGATGGAGCAATCGTAACCCTTGTGTATTCCTGGGAGAATGCAAAATGTTGAAGCTGCTGTGGAAATCAGTGTGCTAGTTCCCACTAAAAACAATCAAACGTAAAATGACTGTATGATCCCAAATTTCCACTTCTGTGATCTAATTCCCCAAAACCGAAGGCAAGTTCTTGAACAGATATTTGTTCGCCAATGTCCTTGGCAGCATTTACACAATAACCAAAAGGTGGAAACAACTTAAATGTCTGCACAAGAGAAAAATCTTTGGAAGGTAATAAAAATCTTTAAATGGTAACCAAACCAGATATCACTGCATCCACAGATGTGGAAGCTGTGCAGAGCTGGCAGGTGTGGCACAGAGACTTCTCCGTAAACCTATCTCTGCTGTTTAAAAACTTAGCAGGTTTCCCCAAATTAAATTAATTACAATAAAGAATTCTTATTTGCTATCTTTCCAAACAAAAGCAAGACCGTAGCCTTGATCACAGGCAAGCTGCAGATGGGCTGGTGCCTCCTCAGCCTTGGGGTGAGTGAGGGCAGGAAAGAGGTCCAGAGGCGGGAGGGGTGGGCCGAGAAAGCCCAGTGTTCACAGCAGAGCAGGGGCGGGGGAAGGTATCTGGAGGAGGGTGGTTCAGAATCCCAAGGGCACAGTCAGAGCTGCGCATCAACAGAAACACAGGTGCAAGAGCAGCACAGGAGGATGCCCGGGGCCCCGCCACAGTACGGAGCGGGCATTGGAAGGGGGCAGTCCAGGGCACAGGAAACCTGCTCACAGTACTTCCAGAGCACTAGCAAGGCTCAGGCCCCGGGGTCTCCTCACGTCACAGTGCCTTGGGGAGGCCAGTCTGGCTGGGTACACAAGGAAGTACACAATAGCTCCCATCCCTGGCGCAGATGTCAAGATAGAAGATGCTACAAGAGCACAAGGGACCAGGCTGGGCAGGCAGGAAAGGCCTCCTAGTGGAGATGCTACCCCTGGGCAGGAGTCGGTCACAGAAAGGGAAACTGAGCTTCGCAATCATGGTGGATAAAACATCAATGGCCAATAAAGAGGAGAAAAATTCCTAAGGGCATGTTTGAAATCTCTGCAGGGAAAAGACATAGCCGGGCCAGGGCTGGGGGAAGAGAGCCAGTGAGGCTGAGTTTGCAAGCGTGCTGAGCACAGAGGGTCCTTCAGAGAGCACAGTGGCCACTGGAGAGTCCCTTGATGTTGGCTCTCTACAGTCCCTACAGGAGGAGAGAGGAGAGCTCGGCAGGCAGCAGCTCTCCCTGGAGCCCGAGAGGGTACAGTCAGGTGTCAGGGCCTGCTCTTCCTGGCTTTGTTGGGAAACTCGCACCCATTCCCCAGCTAAGGCAGATAGAGGACTGTGAGCCACTGTGGGA